GCGTGTGTGTGTCTGTTTGTCTCTTTCTGTGTGTGTATTTCCCCAACAAAAGCCGTGCTACCATCGATAAACCAGAGGAATATTGTAAATTCTGATTGGCTGCAAAAAAACTTCTTAGGTTGTTAAGTCATCCTGCCTGAGATTGGTTGATATCATTGATTGGGATTTTTGCTATGTATCCAAAGAAGCATCTGCAATGTCAATGATCCTGACATGGCATCTCGGCTTTAGTCACATCTGTAAAATAATGAAGGCTAACAGCCGATCTTGTATTGCCTTTAAATTCGTGAAGTCGGTATGCCAAAAAAAAACAAAAAACAAGAGCTTATCAGAAAAATTGCCATTAAATTATTTATAAATTTAATACGTAGCAAGGTTGCTGCATTACGAATACGAGGTAATTGTTCTGATGAGCGCACATATTGACGACATCGATTTAAGGACAATAAAAGAACAGATGTTAGATTTTATTATTTCATTGTTGAAACTGCTAGATATAATCCAACAGTTTCTTTTCTTGATCTTTCTTTTTGTGAAACTCACTTCTGATTATTACTTTCAAATTTCAAAAATCTGTCCATTTTCTGTCCACTTTTATCCTTGTATTTTCGTGTCTCCTCTCTCTTGCTCTATCTTTCACTCTCAGTAAGACCCTGTGTCGTAGTGCCTTTATCACCTTCCTTGGGGTCAAATTATTAAAAAATATATTATCTTTTAAAAGAAATAATGCTGTCATGATTCATTAAAAAAAAATAAATAACAGAAACGCTTTGTGGGAGACGATATGCCAGACATTATTCTATCATATTCAGAAAAAAAAAATCTAAGTATTCATGTTTTTAGAGTGGCTATCTAATCCCTGCTGCAGATGCCTCCTCAGGCACATTTGTATTTATTTAACATACTTAACCAGCCTGTAGATTGTATTGCAACAATGGTGAACGTGTCTTAGTTACAATTTGTCATAGAGCGCGAATCATTAATTTAAACGATACTAGTGTGCTAAATCACTCGCTCAGGAAGGCTTCTGACTTTGTGCTATCATCATTTTTGCCTAACCAAGATCATTCACAAGGGTATTGTAGAACTATGTTATTTTTCAGTCATGTCACATCAATATCTAAGATCAGTTATATATATATATATATATTTGTGTAGGAGATAAGGAAATTGAACAAACGACAATTTGCCCTTAGATTACCTTTGTCAAGCATCGTAAAAAGCCGTAATACACAAATACTGATTTGAAAACTCAAGATACTTACAAAAATACCATCGTCAGATCAAGTCATGCATCTTTCAGAAATAGTCTATGTTCATCCGTTGTCTCAGATCAATGCTTAAAATAACTTCAACCGAAATACCCCCCCCATAAATCGTAAAGATATTATTCGACAGCTCTTATATACTGGTGCTACAGTATCAGAAAATGAAGATCTTTACCAAATAATAATAATAATAATAATAATAATAATAAAAGCAAATAGCTAGAACTCTTTCAAAGATCGTTTGTACTTGCAACCCTAAAACAGTAAAATGACATATTCAAGCTGTCAATATTCCACATTTCCAAAAATAAAAAAAAAGATTGATAAGTTTACCCCATATATATATATATATATATATATATATATATATATAGAGAGAGAGAGAGAGAGAGAGAGAAAAGAGAAAGAGATAAAGAGAGAGAGAGAGGGTTAAGCAACTCAGTTGCTAGGAAACGATAGCTAAACACCTGCACATATCATTTGATTATAGTGGTGAAGGATTTGTGCAGAAGCAACCACACTTTTTGAAGAGCCGAATATAGAAACTTGAAGCACTACGTGCCACAAATTCCCCAAAAAACCCTCGCCAGGTTTTAAATTCAGAGATGTCCTTCTCCTAGACCAGTTGCCATCCAAGGCTATAGAACCTAGACTGTCCAACTATTTACTTATTGCAGGGAGGGAGAAAAGAGGATCCATAACTTTCCAAGGTTATTAGCATGTAAGTGAATATAATGAATTGACAGGAATATATATATATATATATATATATATATATATATATATATATATATATATATATATATAGAGAGAGAGAGAGAGAGAGAGAGAGAAAGTGGGAATAATGTAGCCTGTCTTTTAATCTAGTCGAATCCATTACATTAACTTACGTTCTAATATCTTTAGGAAAGGTATGAATCCTCTTAACTCATGGTTACCTAAACGTACCTTTTATGGTGAACTATCTACAGTCAACCGTCCCAGACACAAACATATAAAGTGCTTTAAAGATTGCATCAAAACCAATATCAAGGCACTTGTGATATAAGTTGGTACATAGGATTTGGGGGCTGAATATCGACCTTCATATACATCACGGTTGTAACCACATTGAAAAGGAAAAGGTGGAAAATGATAAGGTTAAGGGCAATCTAATTAAAGGTAATCCTGAAGCGCTATCTTCCACCGTAACTTTTCAGAATGTATGTAGTTTATGTGGTAATTTTACTCTTTCAAAGACATGTCTTCAAAGTCACCTTAGGTCTCATGAGGCTGGATCCACTGAATGAACCCAGAAATTAATTCGTGTGCCTTCTTGTGCACTCTGCCAAAAAGTATTTAAGTCAGATTATGGATTAACAAGACATGGAAATTCACGTTGATACCGTGCCTGTTGGGCTTAGGGATCTCCATTTTGGGGGCAACATTTTCGCAAAAGATTGTAAAAGTAAGGCTGGTTCAAAAGACATGTGAGATCACATGATCGTTGAGTCTGAAAGTTTAAAAAAACTTAAAAAATAATTGTGGAGTTGGTCTTCTTCTGTCAAGAAGTGACACTCACCATATATATATATATATATATATATATATATATATATAAATTTAAAAAAGGAAAACAGAGCACTTTATGTACATTATAATAATTTATTTCACCAGAGCCCTTTTTAAAAGAACGCCGGATCATCAGAGAGAGCTTCCAAAAAATGAAATGAAACGAAAAATGAAATTAAAATGATGGGTGTAAGTTTTTAATTTAACAGAGAGTGTAAGAGGGTAGTTAAAGAGATATGTAGAGTATAGGGAGGAATTAATTTACATCTCTCTCTCTCAAGCATACTTTTGTATCAGGGGAGGAGGAGGACCAGACCATGACCTATTTAGACGGTTAACTTAACGGAAGTGATATATAGAAATGGGAGGGGAGATGGGAGAAAAGAAAAAGGAAAAAGAACGAAGAGGTAGGCGGATGTAAAGAGAAAGAGGCTGTAATTGCGTTTTAGCAATTTATGTAAAGAATAGATTTTAATGCTTGATAGAAATTTAGATGTCTAAAAAAACCCGAATAAACGATGTCTAAATAAACCCGTATCTATCTATCTATCTATTCATCTATATATATATATATATATATATATATATATATATATATATATATATAAAGTGTACATGTTAAATAACCCCTGAATATATATATATATATATATATATATATATATATATATATATATATATATATATAAAAGCCTCATTAAAGACGATTGTAAGGTACTGCCATAAAGCATTTATTGAATTTTCTTGTGATCGTACAAGTGATTCTTTTTCTGAAATACAGAGTGTAAAATCTTTCCAAATATTTCATATATCCGAGAGTTTCGGCTATTCTCTTAGCCATTATAAAGAAAGATTTTGGCTATTTTAATTTCTAACTTAAAGTGTAGATTGGATTTTTGTGCGAATAATCTTTAGATAAAGTCTTTACGCAAAAATGAGAATAAAAAATGCCATTTGATTTTAACAGATATATTTACCAAAATTACACAATCTATTCACTACAATACTCGTTGACTTCAACCACTACCAATTCTGAATCTCCTGCAACTCTACTAGATGGTTTCCTTATTTAAGTTGTTGAATGCTCCAATAATCCTTGCCTTCCTTTCATATTTAGTGTTACAATGCGTTTTGTTGGTCGCTCGTTCAAATGCGCCCCACACATAATAATCAAGAGGGTTGCTGTCTGATGTCTTAGCTGGCTATATGCAAGGGGTGATGTGGTCGCAAAAATAGCCTGAAAGCTATGACTGGATTCTCTTGCTTGCGTGAAATGGTGCAGAAATTTGTTGCCAGACATAATGTATCACTACCTCCACAGGGCAATTGATGTAGACTTCCGTGCTGAGTGTGAAGCCTTGTTGGAAGATGAATGGAGGCATAAAATCGCGAACATTAGTGATTACTCCAAACACCTTCGTAATCCTCATTAGACTCACCCAACTCTTTCGGAATCCTCTGCGCTGTCCTCAGAATGACACCAAAACACTCTGAAGTATTCGTATTGGAGGTACCGGTGCGAATGCCAAGCTATAGACCATGCCGTTTCCAAATTTCTTGTGGAGTGCATTGCGTTATGGTGGTGTTTTTTATTTTTTTTTTTTTTTTGTTTTTTTTTTTCTCAAAGACGGTGCCCAGCTGACTGTACTATACTGTGTAGTGGATAAAAAACAATGCAAACAGCCCGCATGCTCCAAATTAAAAATATAATATTGCATTAATTTACCCATCGTAACCTATATGTGTGTGTATTCTAATCCAAACATTAATTTGTATACCAATATCTGCTTTTAGTACATTTCATATATATATATATATATATATATATATATATATATATATATATATATATATATATATATATATATATATATATATATCCATTGATTCCTGGAGAAATTACACACACACACACACACAAAAAAAAAAAATTAACACAAATAGTACGTCAAATATTGTTTTAATGGTATACACACTTTTTTAGGGGTGTATTAGGTCCCTCGGTCCGTGCACAGGAAAAAATACGAAGGAAAACTAACTCGGTTGGTTCGAAACGAGCGTTGCACCTTTTATGAGCTTCTACTTGAATACGATTATCAACATCAAGTAAAGTTTGAAGTAATAATAATGTCGTATTAAGAATAAATTCATTAATTCTTTATAAACACACACACAAAAGCATTAATTCCTTCTATATACATAACATGATAGATAAATAAATAGATAGATAAATAGGAACGCATAGAGATAGATAGATAGATAGATAGATAGATAGATAGATAGATGTAAAAAGAGCGAGACAGAGGATTGTAGAGAAAGAGAATGGTAGAGAGTGTTAAGGAGATATGAACAAACTCTAATGTAAACAGGAACATATTATATATTATATATATATATATATATATATATATATATATAAAATAAAATATAGTTTTAATGCATGATATGGATTAAAGTTGTTAATATTAGCGATAGTGATGCCAATATCATATATATATGTCCACATGCAGACCAGTCACACACATATATATATAGATAGATAGAGAGATAGATAGATAGAGACATAAAGGATATGTGACAGAAAGTGTCAGGATGATAGATAGATAGATAGATAGATAGATAGATAGATAGATAGAATGTGAACATAGATAGATAGACAGATAAATAGATAGATATATGCGAAGAGACTGAGATAGATAGATAGATAGATAGATAGATAGATAGATAGATAGATAGATACAAAGACATTTATAGATAGATAGAGACAGAGACAAAGAAAAGCTGATAGGTAGATAGATGGTTAGATAGATAGATAGAAAAGGATAGATAGATAGAGACAGTGAGACAGAGAAAAGCTGATAGATAGATAGATAGATAGATAGAGAGAGAGAGAGAGAGAGAGAGAGAGAGAGAATGAGATAAAGGGATATGTGACAGAAAGAGTCAGAGAGAAGGTGATATATAGATAGATAGATAGATAGATAGATAGATAGATAGATAGATAGATAGATAGATAGATAGATAGATAAAAAAAGATAGAGAGATCTTTTTCTAGCGTGACTACAACGATTAAATGATGTTATAGAAAAATTCTCTTCGTATATAAAACATTTATATTGTTATGCGACTCTGCTTTTTCGTGTGTGCTCAGTTATATTGTATTATGAATGTAAAAGTGTGACAGATTTTGTTCCATTCACCCAGTAGCCCGCCAGAAATCTAACCCGAACATACAATAAATCACTAATTACTCTTTGGTAATCTGTCGAAAAAATGTACAAAGTGAAAGAAGAATTTAGAAAGAAAAAAGCAAAAATGCCCGGAAATGAAAGACAAATCCAATATTTAAATATCGGTTAACGATAAAGGTTGAAATAAAATAATGCATGGAGAATTAAAAAAAAATGGCAAATAATGAAAATAAAAACGAAAATCTTTTGCAATATAGTTTCGGGGGAGAGTTGTTGAGATGTGTGAAAAAAAGTTTGATGTATAATAAGAAGACGAAATGAATGTATGAATAAAGAAATGATAAGATGCAAAAGTAGAAAGACAGTTGCAAGCTACAAGGAAAAATTGAATGGAGAGAAAGAAAGAAATGAAGAAAGAAAATAAATGAAATATAGGAAAAAAAAAAAAGAGAGAGGTTATGATTATATTATTGAAAATGCGTAAGAAAGAATGCATGCGAGAGGGCAAGCAAGCAAGCCAGCACGAAAGGCAAACAGAAAGAAAGAAAGAAAGAAAGAAAGAAAGAAAGAAAGAAAGAAAGAAAGAAAGAAAAAACAGTCAACATATGAAAAAAGTAAAGAAAGATTAACGATAGAAAGAACGAGAAAAAGAAAACTGATAAGAAAATGAATAAATAAAAAAGCAATAATAAAAGTAAAAGAAAAGTGATTATTATTATGAACGTATGAGAGAAATGAAAGAAAAAAGAAAGAATGAAAATAAAAAAGAAAGAAAAGAAGGAAAAAGAAAGAAAGAATGAAAGGAAAAAAGAGTGAAAGGAAAAAGAAAGAAAGAATGAAAGGAAAAAAAGAAAGAAAAGAAGGAAAAAGAAAGAAAGGATGAAAGGAAAAAGAGTGAAAGGAAAAGAAAGAATGAAAGGAAAAAAGAGTGAAAGGAAAAAAGAAAGAAAGAATGAAAGGAAAAAAGAAAGAAAAGAAAGAAAAAGAAAGAAAGGATGAAAGGAAAAGTAAACCTTTTTATTAAAAAAAAAAAAAAAAGAAGGAAGCATGAAAGGAATAAAAAAAAAGAGAACCGAAGGAGGAAAGAAGAAAAAAAAGGAAATGTAGGAGGGAAACGTTGAAGGACAGAAACAAAAGAAGGAAAAAGGAAAAAAAGTTAACCAATGAAAGAATGAAAGAGCGTAAGAAGAAAGAAAAAAAAATGAAAACGATGAAAAGAAAGAAAGAAAGAATTGTATAACTGATGAAAGAAAGAAACAATCAATAATGTATGGGGAAAAGACTTCGTGTATATAACCCCAAAATAGAGAAAGAAAGAAAGAAAAAGAACAATGAAAAATCCTTTGACGGACATCAAAATAAGTAACGCACGACAGATATGAAGACAAAATAATGAAGGGAAGATATTTCTATGCGACCATTAATCTTCTCGTGAACAAAAACTAGGACTCGACTCAAAACCCACTGAAAAAACGGACCTTGCATTAATGATGTGAATTGGACTTCGGTGGATCATTACGAGTGTCGATTCATAAAAGTTAAACGAATCAATTTTAGAAAGGTGATGTTTGTGATTGGTCTTTGACGACAATAGTATCAGCAGTTGAAGATCGGTAGAATGTAATACTTGGGAATATGTATCTTGTACTAGTTGATAAGTAGCCATTCTTTCACTATTTCTATTGAAATGTACCTAAAGTCATGTCGGTGATGCTACACGCTGACTGAAAAGTAACTCCCTATGTTATGTATGAATGTCCAGCTATAAGTCTTGACTTAACAACCTTTGATTTCTTTTTTTTGGGCTGCTGTACCAAACAAAGATTTTGGAAGAACTTGAAGAGCGAATACCATAAGTTATATCTTCCATACCACAAGGGTTCCTTGTGAAATATTTTCAGGTAATTCCAGGGTGGCCCGAGAAATTGGTAGGAAATAAAACCTCATGCTAAACGCCTCTTTCTCATATCAATTTCTTGTAAAAATTATAGCTAATAAATTATTATAAGTATTTTAAAATGTGGAGTTATATTTCAATTAACCTGTTAGCGATTGATGTTTGATATCGTTTATAATATTACTTGGTGAACGCACATACAAACACCTCTTTCAACAAGAAATAATGCTCGCACCTTCGTAAATTTCAAAGTCGATGGCACTGAATCCGTTTTCGAGCAGACGCTCTAAATAATCATGGAACATAATAAAGAGGGAGAATAACGAACCAGGTCAGATCGATCTATTTTGGTTTTCAAAGACCTTCAGTTCGAAATATCTTTCAAGAAATATAAGCAAAGTCAGCAAAGCAAACTGTTAACAAACGTACTCCCTTCAGAAGCATCTGCTTTGTTACCGGCGAGTTTACAAAAAGAATTATCAATCGTCTGCCCACTTTCCTTGATCAGCTTACGCCCGAGGCCACAACCTAACCCTAACATTCAACACGTTCCTTTCTCCCTTCTCTCTCTCTCTCTATATATATATATATATCTCTATCTCTATATATATATATATATATATATATGGAAATCTAGGCAGGGATATACATGGTGTCTTTAGACAATTTCAAAAATTCATTACGAAACTCATTACAGGAAGCTAAATTTCTGTTGCATAGAGATTTTCCAAGCGTAGCTTAGATGTGGGACAAGGCCGAAATTAGGGGGCACCCAGTGAGGAACGAACTCACTACTCAGTCGTAACTGCTCTAGCGAGCCAAGCTTGCTAACCATTACACTGCCTGGAGGTGCCCAAATTTCCGCAGCATATGTTGTTTTAAGTTTCTTTTAATTATATTAATAGTTTTATTAATATTATTTTTTTCATCTTGCATTATTTGTTTTATGTTTAAGACCGCAATGACTTTGTAGACACTCAGAAAACTTTTGTTCAAACTCAAGATGCTCAATATTAATTTATTTAATTAAATAAATTTCTTTATTTAAGAGCTATATGTCCCGAAAAAGGATATATTTGTTCGAAATAGCAAAGTGGTTTTGGACTACTGTAACCGGGTAGGACAATCTAGTAGGTAACCGTAATGGACTGGTTCTCGTCGTAGTGGTAGGCAATAGGCGAAGTCAATAGGCGTCCAATAGGCGTCTCCTGTACCTCCACACGAGTCTGTATTTATAGCTGACACCAGCCAATCATATTACTCTGAGGGGGAACCCAGGCGTATGCATATACATTACTTCTTAAAAAAAAAACAAACATCAATTTTAATCATGTTTAATTATTATGCTGGAGTCTTGTTTGCACCAGTGTACCAGTGCAATCAAAAATTGTGGCAATTGTTCGAAAGTTAAAATAGTTAGATGCAATGAAACAAATTTTTGAAACAATATATTGAAACTCAAGAAAAAGAGATAAAAGAATTCACAACTAAAATAACAGCATACATTTAATTAATCGGTTAACAAGATAATTTTATATTTTCAATGACATCTATCATTGATTAACACTGGTATTATGTAAATAGCATTTACCTCCATATCTTTTCATGTTAAAATTTTATGTCTTTGATAAAACAGTGAAATGGAAATATATCTTGTGGGGAAAAAGTTTAGCAACCAAAAGAAAAAAGACGGCGAGGGAAAAGACGGTTTCAAAACCGACTTGAAGCAAGACGATCATTTAATAGACAAAGGTATCTGAATAATCCCCATGAAAGGCTTGAACACATAAGACTGAAATCTGAGGAAAGACAAAAGTAATGGAACTGATGAATTAAACGGTTCATTTTACTCGGGAAATAATTCTGTCTAAATGAAGATAAATATTTTATATGTATAGATTGTTAAAACGACAAAGGGAAGTAATCGCTTCTAGTTTCCCTAAATGCCACCAATTTACCACCTTTCCCACTATAAATGTGACAGGAAGTATATAAATACACATTAATAATTATTATATGAGACGAGTTTTGATTTATAATCATATATATATATATATATATATATATATATATATATATATATATATATATATATGTTGAAGATATGTTTTAATGGTATGGCATATTAATGTGTTAAATTGTTCATTATCAGGAATAGCGCATATGTTAATATATAACAGAAACTGATGTCAATATCTAACGTCGAAGTATGTTTCATGCTTGAACGCAGTCGTCAGGTCATGTCAGACATTTAAAAACCATGAAACAGAATTTTTCACACACACACACAGAAAGAGAGAAAGATATATATATATATATATATATATATATATATAAAAGTGAATGTTTGTTTCATTATATGCAATCGTCAGGCCTGACGATTGCATATAGCATGAAATAGACTGTCGCCTCTAAGTGTTGATTTCTATGTTCACTTTTATATTTAAACACGCTCTATCTCTGATATTGAAGACTTTATCCCATAAATATAGCACAAATTAAGACTATATTTCTTCATATATATATATATATATATATATATATATATATATATATATATATATATATATATATATCGGCCTTTAACATCTTTTTGTTTATGTTGTGGTAGGATTCACCTAATTTGTATAGTGGAGTACCGACCATATAAATATGGTTGGTACCGGGAAGAGAAGGGGAATCAAGCGATTCAACCATAGACTCTGCCCGACTGCGACCAGTCAACACATTCTCCAGGAACGGTCTTACCAGGAATATACAAAAGACTATATGTAAATATTGTGTACACTTTCTTGTTTCAATACATTTTGTTCTAAGTACATTTTGTGTTGCATTATTATTCCATGCATTAGTTTCAATAGTTTAATATATTTATATATATATATATATATATATATATATATATATATATATATAGCGTTTCACCCCAAGCAAGACGAGAAGCCACTAGGACGCAAGGGGTTACAGAAAAGTTGGAGCAAGATCAGATAGGAGTGATAGAAGAAAGGATGAGCAGAATGGTAGTGGATAGATCAAGGCAACTGGAGATGTCATTTGAATAGCTGGAGATTATAACTCTCAGGGAAACTGGAATAGGGAAGGGAGTTCGACAGGCGAGAGGTGCGAGACATGAAGCTATTAGAGTAGAAGAAACGGCTACATTTAGGAGTTTTGACAGTGAAAGGGTGAGAGCGGGATGCCAGCCACGAAGGGCGCTTGAACTCATGAAGTCTGGGAACCAGCGAATGCAGCTCGTCGAAGCAATTGCCATGAAAGTATTTGTAAAACAGTCAGAGAGAGGCGACGGCGAGTCTATGAGAAAGTGAGTGTTGACGACATGCCATAGCAGGGCCAATTATATTGCATATCCGCCTCTGGAGCCTATCAAGAATCCCGAGGCAAACAGAAGGGGCTACAGAACATATATGGCAGCAATACTCCATGCAAGGGCGAATTGCTGATTTGTAGATCTGGAGGATCGATTCCGGGGAGAAAAATTTCCTGGCGCGGCACAGGGAACCAACTTTCCTTGCGGTGGACGAAGCAATTGACTCAATGTATTTGTTCCATCTCAGGTCAGCAGTCAACGTGAGACCGAGCAGCCGCAGAGAGGGGCTCTCGAGAAGTTGAGCGTCAAAAATTCTAATGGAAGTCAGGGAAGGATCCCTGTGGTGATTAATAGAGAGCAGTTTTGTTTTTGAAGCATTGAAGTTGACCAGCCAATTCCTGCCCCAGTCCACAACCGATTGAGGTCATTTTCGAGACGCACGGCCAGGTTAGTTTTGTCAGTGACACTAGATTTGTTTTGAGGCAGGAATAAATTGTGCTGTCATCCGCGTAGATGCCAACTTGGGAATTTATGGCGTCAGGAATGTCATTTATGTAGATAAGGAATAGAGTGGGGCCTAGGATGGAACCTTGAGGAACATCTGCGTTCGTGGGATAGGAACTGGAGGAGAATCCGTTGAGAACGACCTTCAATTCACGGTTTGACAGGAATGATTGTATTAGGTCAAACAATCGGCCCGTAATGCCATGACCCTGAGATTGCGAAGAAGGCCGGCATGCCAAACCCTATGAAATGCTTTGAGATGTCTAGGGCAACGGCACGAGCTTCCCCGTTATTTTGAAGAGCTCAGTGATGGCCGTAAGCACATCAACTGTAGATCGTGCAAACCGGAAGCCTTATTGCTTGTCTGAGAGCAGATCATGGGATGTGATTGATTAGGTATTGATTAGGGCTTCGAAGAGGGGGGGTAGGAGAGTGATAGGACCGTAGTTAGAAGGGTCAGATGGGCGCCAGAGTTCTTGAAGAGGAACTATCAAAGAGGCCTTCCAGTAGTCAGGAAAACAAGATTCCTTGAGGCAGTAATTGTATAGTTTAGAAATGGCGGGCGCCAGTTCAAGTGCACATTTCTTCAAGACAATGGCTCCACCATTAGCCTTGTTGAGGTTCTAAATTGGAGATAATTCCCAATACCAAAGACGGGGTTATGTGTAACTCACTGGATAGGGCCTCAGTTCTAAGAGGGAAGTCGGGCTTTGGTACTTCCGGAAGAGTCGAGCGTCGGTTTGATTGAAAATTTCC